TAGCTGACAGGCTCCCAGTGAGCCTCCCTCCGGAAGGGTTTGAAAGCAATGCATGGCAGCCTCACACCCTCTCAATTTGTTTTGCCAGCTCCTTAACCACCAGGCTTAGTCCCACCTCTGATGCCCATAAGTTGTCCCTTGATCCTAGGGAACAAACACAATTCCTGAAGGAGGGATTCCTCCCACCCCTGCCCAGCCACCTCAGGTCCCAGGACAGAGCACACAGGCTCCATCCTGACCACACTCTACTCAGCAGCAGCCTGACATCCCCTGGTAACAGAAGCACTTCATGAGGCAGAAACTGTCCTTCTTTACACTGCTTTCCAGATACAAGGCTTCCTCAGGATCCCAAGACTGCCACTCAGGAAAACTTGCTGGGCTGTTCCCTCACCAGAGGGACATGAACAGAAATGAATAATCACCTGTGTAGCTGCAGGAACCCTTGTGCCACTGGCAGCAGCACTCAGGAGCTGCCCAGGTGTGCCCATATGTTAAGGGCCAGATGTGACAACAAGTCTCAAATGACAGGAACTCTGGCCAAAGCAATCCCTGGGCAGCTCTGTGGGACCCAACAGCTCTGCAGGCAGAGCAATGGAACAGAGGAGATGGAGATCCCAGCATCTCATATGCCAAGGAGGAATAAATACCCCAAGACCCCCACTCCCACCCTGCCCAAGACAGGAGCCCCTTAGCTCCTGGAGGCTGAGGCCATGGCTCCAGGGACGGTGCAGACCCAGCTGTGTGGTTTGAAATGTGTACACAGCTCCCCATACTCACATTTTGTGGATAATTCTGATGAAGTCACTACAGTCCTGAAGCTGGGACAGATCATTGAGGGGATCAGGACAAACCTTCGTGCTGTTCACCTAGAAATGAGGAGGGATAGTCAGAAGGCAGAAACCAAGACAACGCTGCACCCTGCCACTCGCCATCTCCAGTCCTGGTAGGGACAGAAAGAACTGGGTGGGAAAGTAAATCTACCCCTTCAAACCACCCCTTCCCAAGGAACAGATGAACATGATCCCCACAGTTCCATATCTGGGAGTCTGGCACAAGTCCCATTTATCACACTGCTGGAGCCCTTCTTCTCTGGAAAGGCTGAGAGACCCAAGGGTGTTCAGCATGAAGAAAAGAAGGCTCCAGGGAGACCCCTGTCAGTGCCTAAAGGGGCTCCAAAAGGGCTGGAGAGGAACTTTGGAAAAGGCCTGGAGTGACAGGACAAGATGGAATGGCTTCTCTCTTACAGAGGGCAGGGTTAGATGAGATATTGTGAAGAAATTCTTCCCTGTAAGGGCTGTCCATAGAAGCCGTGGCTGTCCTATCCCTAGAAGTGTTAAAGTCTAGGCTGGACGTGGTTTGGAGCAAGCTGGTCTAGTGGGAGGTCTCCCTGCCCATGGCAGGGCATTCTAGTTAAATGAGCTTAAAAGCCCCTTCTAACCCAAACTATTCTATGAGTTTTCACTTGGACACAGCAGTACTTTGTGAGACAGATCCAACAACCCCTTTACAGTACAGCTGCTACCTGCTTCAGGCTCAGCTCCATCTCCCAGGCAGTTTCCATAACCAGACCAAGCCATTCCAGCATTTGTGGTCACTCAAGGGTGAGCAAGACTTCTGCTGCAAACACCCAGCTGCCCAGAAACAGCAGGAACTTGGCTATCCTAGGACCTGCCCCAGCCACAATCCCTCCTGTGACAAGCCCCAGCATCATGCCCCAAAGCTGCCAGTACCATGTCCCATGTATGCAGCGAGCTCTGGCACAGGAGGGTGACCTTACCCAACCAAAGAGAGCAACAACGCTTACACTGTGAAGAGACATCATGGCCAGCCTGTCAGGTCCCTGCCCAGACCTAAAACCATAAAAAACAAACAAAACAAAACAAAACAAAACAAAACAAAACAAAAAACCCAAACAAAACAAAACAAAAACAAAACAAAAAAACACACACACACACAAAAAAGAAAAATATAGTAACCATGTTACTAAACAACTCGTGCCCAGCACCAGGCATTTGTACCCACCAAGGGAGGATTTGTCCCTGCATCTGGGATATCCCAGCTGTGCAGGAGCAGCCAGCATCCTCCTGCTTCCCCACAGGCACAGAGTGGGAAGCAATGCTGAGCAGCAGCCAGGTCTACTCCCACAGATTAGGATCCTGACATGGGGTCAGTGGAAAACTGCTGCTCGGGCTCCTCATTCTCCTGCTGTGCCTTCTTCCCTCCCTCTCACCTCCAAGTGTCACTAACATTTCTTGCCCAGCAAGGCAGTGGCCAAGCCATTGAAGCACTGCCAGCTCCCCTTCCCACAGCTGCCAGTGAAAAAACCACCTGCTGAGGTACAGGGAGCTCTCTGGGCATCACTGCATTGGGTGGGAGCAGGGATGAGCTGCTCTGACAGGATCTGGGATCACTGCCAGGTCCCCTTCACAGCGACCTTTGCCTCCACGCTGGCTGTCCCCAGTGCCACCCTGGTAGTCTTCCAGGGGAGGGAACTGCTGGGAGCCAAAAAGTCACCCAGATGAGGAGGGGGCTCCTCACCCTCTATTGCACCTGAACATCCACACCATGACTACGGAGCTCCCACTGCTGTCAGCCCAGGTGGGGAGCTTAGGATCCTCAGCAGGACAGGCCCTCCTTCCAATTTGCCTGAAACCCTTGGCTGGGTCACTCAGCAACTACTGTCACTCCACCTGGTGGCACAGCCAAGACCTCTCCCTAAAAATCCACCCAAAGGCACAGGGCACTCGAGCAGCGCTGGATGCAGACCCTCGGAGAAAACCGTGTCCCACCAGCGTCGAGCTGGGTTTTACCAGAACCAGTCTGCAACACACTGGTTCCTGGTGTGAGATCTGCACGGGTATATTCCCCATGAGCGCTGGCAGGCCAGGAAGGGCCGGGGAGCCAGCGGCCACGCACAAGAGAAAAGTTATTGATCTTCTCTCGGCGGGGCTGGCAGGCGGCGGCTCCCCTTCCCGGCCCCGCATCACCCCGGCCCCAGCGCGGCTCGGGAAAGCCGCGGCTCGGCAGAGAATGGTCTCCGTCTAACCTGACCGGACTCACATCCCAGCTGACCCCTGGAAAACTGCCTGGAAAACACGCACACACCCCCGCGGGCACGGATTCAACGGGAACCGGACCCCACGGCCCACCAGCTAGATCAGGGAGGAATCGGGCGAGGAAGGGACGCGCATCCCTCGCTGCTGTTCCGGAGACCCTCGGAAATCATCTCCGCAGTGCCTGGGCTGCCTGCGGAGGCTCGGGGCCGCGGGATGGGGCTGCCCCGAGCACAAGGAGAAGGTTATCTCAAACCTGCGCTGGGGGTAGCAAAGGAACCCGCGAGGAACGCGGCCGTCCAGTGCCGCTGGCGCAGGCTCCGGCTTTGCCAAGCCCCGGGGAAGGAAGAACCACACGCCCGTCCTTAGGAAAGCACCGGGACCCGCCGAGGGAACCACCGGGACCCGCCTCGCGTCAGCTTTGCCCTTACCGTAAGGCCGGGGAATTCGTGTCTGTCTTCATCTCCTGCATCGTGGGCCAAGCCGCGGTCCCGGAGCCGCGGTCCCGGTCCCGGAGCCGCTATACCGGAGCCGCGGTCCCGGTCCCGGAGCCGCTATACCGGAGCCGCGGTCCCGGTCCCGGAGCCGCGGTCCCGGAGCCGCAGTCCCGGTCCCGGAGCCGCAGTCCCGGTCCCGGTCCCGGTCCCGGTCCCGGTCCCGGAGCCGCAGTCCCGGTCCCGGTCCCGGTCCCGGAGCCGCGGTCCCGGAGCCGCGGTCCCGGAGCCGCAGTCCCGGAGCCGCAGTCCCGGTCCCGGTTCCGGAGCCGCAGTCCCGGTCCCGGAGCCGCGGTCCCAGAGCCGCGGTCCCGGAGCCGCAGTCCCGGTCCCGGAGCCGCGGTCCCAGAGCCGCGGTCCCGGAGCCGCAGTCCCGGTCCCGGAGCCGCAGTCCCGGTCCCGGTCCCGGAGCCGCAGTCCCGGAGCCGCTGTCCCGGAGCCGCGGTCCCGGTCCCGGTCCCGCTCCCGGAGCCGCGGTCCCGCTCCCGGAGCCGCGGTCCCGCTGTTATTCGAAGGCCGCGCGGTGCCGCCCCGCCGCTGCCCGCCGTGCCGGGCCGGGCCGTGCCGGGCCGGGCCGGGTCGCCGGGCTGCGGGGGGCGCGCCCTGCCCGCCGCGGGGACAGCCCGAGCATCCCGATCCCAGAGCATCAGCCTAGCGTGTGGCTCGAACACAGATAACTGCACGGCTGCTGAGTCTGGCCAGGACTGCGGGTAATGAACTACTGTAGGGCGGCACTGGAAAAACATCCTTGTTGTGGTTTCTGCACTGTAGGATGTGAGTGTAGAATGAGATTAGGATGAAGTGTGTAATTTACAAATAAAACTTTCTGATTATTTGCAAACCCTCTGACTTTGTACATTCCTTTCGACCGTGAGTATTTATGAATCTTAGCTGCTTGCTTCCCCTTAGCTGGGGAAGGAATCATCACACCTTTTCTGTCCCCTTGTCCTCTAGGCCCTATGGGACATGATCGAAGGGGTGACAAAGGACAGACAGGTGGGTGTACTCCCCCCACCAGGGCATGGCTCCCCCATCACATCCATTCTGTGTCCAACAGAGAACAGTGGAGACAGGCACTGGGTGAACGTGGCTTCATCTATTGTGGCAAAAAATAATAGTAATTAAAAACAAACAAACAAACAAACAAAAAAACCCCCCAAAACCATAATCAAACAACTAAAATAAAGGCCTAAACATGTAAAACGGAGAAAGGATGGTTTTGGAGCCACCAGGCCCCAAAAAGGCATCACATCTGCCTGGCTTCAGCCACACATCTTGATGACCTGGCACATGGTGCTGACCAGGGTCTCCTTGCAGCAGCTGTTCCCTTGGTGCTTGTCCCTGTGCAAGGCAGCGTCCAGCTGACACAGCCTGCTCCCCACGCACACCCACACACACCCACACACACCCACACACACCCACGAGGAGGAGAAAGCCTCAAGCAATGTAGGTGGGCTCAATGTGCCAATGATGTGCGCCTTGGCATTTAGTAGGAAACAGGATATCTGTCCAAGTTCTGTGGCAGCAGCATGGGGAGGGAAGGGATATAAAGAGGAAAAAAAACAATCAGGAAATAAACCAAAAACAACCCAAAGCGCTGAAGCAGCAGTGGTGGGGGCAGGTTCAGGGGATGCCAAACTGTACAACCAGTTCTTCTTTGGCGTTGACACGGATCTGTGAGAGCGCACTGAAGGCATAGGCGGCTATCTGGGACACCTGCAGGCACGAAGACATGGTTTTGTCACTGGTGGCTGCTGAAACTCCCCGTTATCCCAAAGGAACTGCTGCAAGAGGTCAACCTCCAGCCCTAAGGAGTCCCTAAGCCTGTCCTGGGCTTTGCCTCCACCTCTAACAAGGCTTTAAACCTTACCCTAGGTTTGCCCTCAGCTCTAACAAGCCGTGTCAGGGCTCTGGGCAAGCAGGAGGGCATCACTGCTCCTCCAGGACGAGGATGTGTCTCTGGGGAGCACCGCAGGGGCTCGGGGCTCACCCCAGCCCGGCTCACCTGCTGCAGGTCTGCGAAGGGGACAGGGTCACTGGCGAGCACTTGGTGTGGTTGGTTGGTCAGAGATGGCAGCAGGGGCAGCTTCTTCCAGTGCGTCAGGTTGTTGCTGAGCATGGCCAGGCGTGTACTGCGAGGGGAAAGCAGCGAACATCAGTGCCCTGCCGAGACGTGGGGACATCCAGAAGATGGGTGCTGCACCCCCAAGCACCTGGAACCCCCAGGGGGAGAGAGGGAGAGCAGTGGAGCTGCACTCCCAGCATCCAGCCCTCTGCACTCCCCGCAGCAGGAGGATGAGCGAGCTTCCAGCTCTGCCACACAGGCACCTTTCAAGCAGAAGCCATCACATCCAGCCCCCAAACATCTGCCCCAAGGGCTGGGTGAACAAAGGAGCCCTTTGGCCTGGGCTCTGCTGCCTGCACTGCCATCAGCCTTGCCTGAGCAGGCTGCACCCTGCTCTCCAAGATGAGGCAGACTTTCTACATGCTGAGTTCACTACCCCAGGACAAAACTACATGCTGAGTTCAGTCCCCCGGCTGTGTGTGTCCCTGGGACCTGCCTAGGGACACACACAGCTGTGAAGGACTGCAGGCTGAGCAGCCCCAGCTCCCTCAGCCTTTCCCCATAAGAGAGATGCTCCAGTCCCTTCACCACCTCTGCAGCCTCCAAAAGACCCACTCCAGGCTCTCCTTGTCTCTTGTCCTGAGGAGCCCAGGACTGGACAGAGCACTCCAGAGGTGTCTCACCAGGGCTGAGGAGAGGGGCAAGATCACCTCCTTTGACTTGGTGGCAATGCTATTCCCAATGCATGCCAGGATCCGTTTTGCCTCCTTGGCCCATAAGGCACTGCTGGCTCAGGGACAGTTTGTTCTCCACCAGGACCCCCAGGTCCTTCTCCATAGAGCTGCTCCAGCAAGTCAGTCCCCAGCCTGTGCTGCTGCAATACTGAGAGCCCAGTCTGTGATTTTCAATAAGCATCTGGATTAAACTTGTTTGACTAAGGAAAAGAGAGGAATTTTTCAATATAAGACAGACATTGAAGGGCTGGAGGGTGTCCAGAGAAGGGTAAAAGAGTTGGAGAAGGGTCAAGTCTGATGAGGAATGGCTGAGGGAGCTGGGGGCCCTCAGCCTGAACAAAAGGAGGCTTGGGGGGATCTTCTTGCAGAGACAAGGCCCTGACAGAAGGGTGGACTCAAGGGGGGTGTTTGGCTCTTCTTCCACATACACAGGACAAGAGAAAATGGTCTCAGGTTGTGCCAGGGGAGGTTTAAGATGGACCCAGCTCCCTCAGCCTTTCCTCATAAGAGAGATGCTCCATCCCTTCTTCATCTCCGTAACCTCCACTGCAGCTGCTCCAGGAGCTCCCTGTCCCTCCTGCTCCGAGGAGCCCAGGACTGGACACAGAACACCAGATGTGCCTCAGCAGGGCTGAGCAGAGGGGCAGGATTGCTCCCTGACCTGCTGGCAATGCTCTTCCTAATGCCTCCTTGGCCACAAGGACCCTGCTGGCTCAGGGACAGTCTGTTCTCCACCAGGACCCTCAGGTCCTTCTCAGAGATGCTTCTCACACCTGACCCTTACCTTGGTACTCAATCAAAAAGGTTTACCAACAGACTTGCATGTGGAGATTAATCCATCTTCTGACAAGCAGGATCAGGGATTTTTTAGTGCCCACTTACTCACAGGTCCACTTGCATACACAAGCAATGATGCTACTGACTTTTTCCCCTCCTGAGCCACTAAATACCCAGAAAATCTCAAGTCCCTACTCATTTATTTGTGGAGGGGCTTTGGAACAGCTGGAGGATATGGAAGAAAACAATAAAAAATAATAAAAACACAAATAAAACCAACCTGTCCTATGACACCCAGTTATCACTACACATAGGTCAATCAATAACTCTGAACTTTAGCTTATTTCTCAGCTTGAGTTTAAAATAAAATCTAAACCTTTCTTCATGCTAGTTATGATTTCAGCTCAGCTACAGAAGTTACTCCATTTTCACTTCAAGAGCTAAAAGCACAAAGACTTTTAACTTTTCTGTGTGTATCTTCCACTCATCCCTTCCTCCCCCAGATTTTTTCAGTGCAACTCAGCAACTTTCAGCTACTCAAATGCAGCCCTGAAGTATTTTTGGCAGAGACTAAGATTTCTTGTTATGGTAGACTGATATAAGTTAAAAAAATACAAAGGCTGTTCTGATTTATTATGTATCATTACTACTTGCATTTCAGAATTAAAACCTTCTATCAGTCTGATCCAACTTTGTAAAGAAATCATAACAAGGCAGTGTAGTATTACAAATTTATTAAGTTTTGGCAAAGTAGTGTTTCAGCATTGAAAATTTCACACATATAAAACAACTTCTATGCATTAAAACCAAAGTATGGATTATTTTTCTAATTTAAAGCAAGTGCTGTGCTTTTTTAAACATCTCATGAACCAAATTCTTCAGTTATAAAGCTGATAAAAATAAGTGATACACCACTAGATTTTTTTCTTCAACATGTGAAATTCATCTCTTTGGGAAACAATACTTTTTAAAATTGTATCATGAAAGATACAGACCTGAAAAAGGATAAACAATCATACACAAGGCATAAATGTTACACAGAGTAACTCAGACATTTTATAAAGAGATCTGGAAAAGTACCTAAAATAGTGATATTTATTTAGTATAAAATTTCAATAATAAAATATTGCTCATAATAAATAAGAAAACATGAGTTTCGTTAATACTGTTCTCCCCTTAAAGCTCTCTTGGATGTAACAGGATCAGACCTGATCAAAAGTCTAATATTTATTTTGTCCTCCGTATGAAGGAGGCAGGTTTACAGGCTTCAGGTCATTCTTTGCTAGAAACAATTTTATTATAAACAAAACACAGAATTAATTTCAGGGCTCATGCGTAGTTATGGGAAAAAAGAAATAATACTCCCCAAATGTGAATAAACCTTATTACAGTAGATTTTAATACCCAAAATATTTGCCCTTTTTGTTAAACCCAAAGTGGAATAAGACTTGCTGCTGCCCAAGTTTTCTCAAAAGCGTCTAAATATGGGTGCAGCTGTACTTAATGGTTATGAACGCTGTTAGGGACAGTTTGCTCGAGGGGGATGGAAGTTGTTTCCCTTTATATGGGGATGTTGGATTTCATGCCTGCTCTTCCCATCTGCAGACAGGGCAGCTTGGAGCAGTTCTTCAGCAGCTGCTCGATGGCGATGTGGCGCACGTTGAGCTCCGAGGCCAGGGAGTCCTTCTCCTGGACCTGCTGTGCCAGCTCCTCAAACACATCTGCAACAACAGCACTGGGTTAATGCACTTGGTCCCTGCCCTGCCACAGGCTCAGGAAGCAGTGACAAACAACACTGGGGAAGAGGCACACACATTTAAGTGGGATCATGCACAGGAACTCTGCTTTTCCTGGCTCCAGCACAGCTTTGTATGCATTGCAAACCGAACAGCATCACTTCATTTCTACTTATAGACAACATCAGCTAAAGTGGATCAATTTAGAACTCAAAACAAAGCAGCCTCTGGCCTGTATCAGCAGCAGTGTGGCAGCAGGACCGGGGCAGGGATCACCCCCCTGTGCTGGGCACTGGTGAGGCCACACCTCAAATTCTCACATCAAAAATGTTCAGTTTTGGGCTCTTCTCAGCAAGGACATGGAGGTGCTGGAGCGTGTCCAGAGAAGGGCACAGAGCTGGGGAAGGGTCTGGAGCAAAAGCCTGATGAGGAGCAGCTGAGGGGACTCAGCCTGGAGAAAAGGAGGCTCAGGGGAGACCTTATAATTCTCTACAATTGCCTGACAGGAGGGTGGAGCCAGGTGGGATCAGGCTTTTCTCTCAGATAATAAGTGACAGGATGAGAGGAAATGGCCTTAGTTTGCACCAGGCAAACTTAGATTGGATATTAGGAAATATTTCTTCATGGAAAGGGTGGTCATGCACTGAAATAGGCTGCCCAGGCAAGTGGTGGAGTCACCACCCCTGGAGGGATTTAGCAGGCATGGAGATGTGGCATTTAGGAACCACTTGGTTTTGTGGGGGACTTAGCAGTGCTGGGTTAATGGCTGCACTTGATCTTAAGGGTAATTTTCAACCTTAACAATTCTGTGGTTCTAGTCAAATTCTTTAAGAGAATAAATACTGTGCCAATTTGCAGAACCAAAGCAGATGACATAATGAAAGTACTTAGAAATCTCTCTATATCACACATTTCCATGCCAAACAAGAGACTTCAGTTAGAAACTTATATGACAGAAAGGCAATCAAAATTACATTTTTAAAACCAGGCATTTTTATGATAAAGCACCACAAACCCAAAACGAAGAGTATTGAAAAATTCTCACCCTGGATTTGCTTGAGCAGTTTTTCATTAAGTTGCTTTAACTCTCCTAGAGTCATTGTAGTCACTGCAACAATAAAATATGTTATTACTACTATCATACTCCTACCAATCACATAAGCATCCCTAAGCAGACTCCTGTTTTCTCAGTATTTCTATTTGCATCCTAATAATCAACAGATGTGTGGCAGTAAGTCAGAAACAACAGTATTTATCAGTGATTTGAGGAAAGTTTGAAAATTCTCTTTTTAATGTTGACACAGACAAGGATTTACTCAATTAAAAAAAACCCTCTCTTCAATGTCAAAAAGGTGGAAAACCAAGCCCTGAAAACAGTAGCATTCAGAATCAGAACTGCTTGGCACATGTAAATACTATACCCTCCTCTGACTTCAAAACATGATTTTCCCAGTGTAACCCATGAAAGCACATCTGTTTAGTTGTGTGCAATTAAAAGGGGACAATTCTGAAGTAAGTCCTGCTATGTTTCCCAGCCTGCAAGAAGCAGCATCCTGACAGAATTTTCAGCATGTGGCTCCCTGTTTTGGTTATTAAGGTTTGTGCTTTACGCATACAGGAATAACTTACACAGTTTCCACTGAATATCTCACTGACAAATGATGAAGGACAATCCTGGCTTGATATGAAGAGCAGCATATAAAAATAGGTTTCCCTCTGTGCTCCTGGTGAGAACTATAATATCCTCTGCATCATTTAAAAGCCCTTCTGTGTCTCAGGTTGTGTGCATTGATCATCCTCACAGAGGATGGGTACTGTGACAGTGCTCTTCACTGCCCTTGATCAACAGCAGGGAAGCACTGGCCTGCTTCCTGGGATTCCCTCAACCCTGCAGTGGACACACATG